TTTTTGGTGGTTAGGTACTACATATATAAGCAGCAGTCTGTAGTTTACCACTGTTGATTAAAGGCTTGTTTATACAAATTGTATAACACAACATATTATAAAACAAATAGTTTTTTTAGAAGAAAAAATAACTCTGGGGTCTCTTTAAGTTTATTTTTTTTTAATTTTAACATTGCTGTAATATAAGTCATAGAAAACTTGCCATTTGTAAAATTGTAAAAAATTTTAGTAAATAATTTATAATTGGTATAATTATTAGGGGTGGAGATCTAAAGTATAAGTACAAGTTATCATCAAGAGGTCATTGAAAGAACTAGGACAAAGAGATCAACTTGATCAGGTGATCGACTCGGTGGGTAAAAAAAATACGCATGTACACAATGACACAGGTACACAATGACACAGGTACACAATGACAAAGGTACACAATGACACTGGTACACAATGACACAGGTACACAATGACACAGGTACACAATGACACAAGTACACAATGACACAGGTACACAATTACACAGGTACACAATGACACCAGTACACAATCACACCGGTACACAATGACACCAGTACACAATCTCACAGGTACACAATCACACAGGTACACAATCACACAGGTACACAATCACACAGGTACACAATCACACAGGTACACAATGACACCAGTACACAATGACACAGGTACACAATCACACAGGTACACAATCACACAGGTACACAATGACACCAGTACACAATCACACAGATATGCAATTTAAGAGATATACACTTTCATAGATAAAAATTATCTCAATTTACTACTAGATTTATACATAAATACTTATTACATTAATACACTACTACACATACATTTATACATAATAACACAGATATAAATTTACATAAGTTCACAGATACAGAGATACACCATAAATTACACAATCACACAGGCACACAAATGATAAACAGGTATGGAATTTAAATTTAAATATCTTCACATGTAGGTAGTTAAAAAAATTTCAGATTGTCTGAATCAAAATGTTTGTAATGAAAGACATGGCATACAGTAGGGCCCATGATCATTGTTCATTAAACATGAACAACTCATTAGAGCAAAAATTAGCGGAACAATGTGTTTAGTAAAGTTAAACACTTCTTTTAGTCTTTTTACATCTGATTGCATAAAACAGCAGGCAGAGTTCAGTGTTTAAATAAAAAAGTAAACAAAACGTATAATACAGTAGTGATGTGCTAAATGAATCAATACACATCCATGGAATGTCAACACAAGAACTAGTAACAACAGTATGAAAAATTAAACAATGTTATTCGGTTTAAGTAATAACAGGGAAAAAATTATTTTATAATTAACATCTAAATATTTTAGACATTTACCTGAGTGTTTAATCACAAAAATCAACCAATCAACAAAATAAAGGCACACATTTTCCAGTTTTTTGCTGGTTTCGATGCAAAATTTTTTTATCCCACCAACTTTCCTGTGGAACCACATATCTTTCTTCTATAATAACAAATGCAGTCACCATACATGTTAAATTTACTTCAAGTCACCATCCTTATATAATTACAGCACCATTCTTCTAACACTTCCTCATCATACCACATCAGTAACATCACCATCATCTACAAAAAAGTGATATAAACACCACAATTAAGTGATATGAGCACGTATGACGCCTTTGATCTTTGAGCGACACACTGGGCAAGTGGTCAGTGAAAACGAACACTCCAGACATGAGACCAGATGAGCACAGGGCAGAAAGACAATCTGCACGTCTCTGTCCAGGCACACCTTGCAGACGGTCTGTTGACGCAGGTGCCTGTTTGTCTCTTTCATCTTCTGCATTGCGTCTGTAGAAAGTAATTGTGTAAACAATTTTAAAATACTGTTGTTTTTTTTTAATTAATCACAAATATAAGTCCATTAAGAATTCAGTATTGAAGTTTAATACTTTTTTGTAAAGTGCCAATACATTTTTAAAATTATTTTAATGTTTTGAAGCAACAGTTTAATAGACAGATAATAATAATAGCCCTACATTCTATTCAAAAATATTTCTTGCTCACCTGTGAAGTTAGTTTGTGAAGTCTCATTAGAAGGAACATGTTGTGTATCAGTACAAGGTTTTACAAGTAAACAATTTAAAATTACATCAGCCGAGAGTACAAAACCTTCTGTGGACAAAATAAAATTTCTTTTACAGTTATATGAGGATACATCAACTAACAAAAAAAACAAAAACTATAGTTCCAAGGATTAATGTCCTTATCATATAACTAAATAACTATAACTTATTCAGAGAAGAGTTACAACAACATAAAATTACCTTCAGTCTGTACACATTGTTCAGCTGCCTGTATTACATCCTGCCTGTCATAACCCAAGTCTACAACAGCTTGAACTGCAGGGTCTCTAGACAGAGTTGTCTCTTCTGAAGAGGTTCAAAAAAAAAGATTATAAAAATTTACAACTTAGATTATTCACTGCAGAATTTTTAAATATTGAAAAATTATTAGCTTTGCATGTTTATTTATTACTTAAAATGGGAATTATAATTTATTTTGGAAAATGGTTTAACTGGTCAGGGTATTTGTTATTAAATTGTGGATGATTTATGATGTATATATTTTAAAGCTTACCTATTACATTATGTAATTGTTTCTTTCTCATCTCTTCAACAACCATGTTAAAAGAAATCTGTGATGATGGGAAAAAAAATGTACTTCTCAAGAATGGATCAGGATCTTAATGAATTAACTAATAGGATAGGTGTTGTAAACACAAAGTATTTGTAAATTCAATAAAAACTGAGTCCAATATTCACCTCGACTACGAGCTGGTTCAACTCCTGGACTGTGTCGACAAAATCCTCCCCCATCTTCTGGCGGATAAATCCACATTTAGGAAACCACCTGGCATGTTCCACCAACAGGTCATCTTGATCCCCCCAGTTTTTCAGGCCACCCCCGCAGTAAAAACATCTGCCGCAATCGGCATAACCTAGAGAAATTTTTTTTTTTATTATGTGTAGGTCCTACGTGGAAGGGGAGGATAAACAAACTTTGTAGCATAACAAGGACTAACAAGAAAGGTAAAAATGGTTGCCTACCTCCATAGTAGAACCCTGCTTCGACCAGGTCATTCACCTTGATGTGATGGTCTTGACGCCATTGGGAAAATGTTTGAAGACGAATGGCTTTTGGTGCCAAATCTGGACGCTTTGGTCTGTCAGTTAGAACTCCAAACCTCTCACATGATGTGAAGTCAAGATTGTGTTCTTTTGTGTGTTGGGGTGGGATTTCTGAGTGCTGGTGGGGTGGGCTTGCTGGGTGCTGGTGGGGTGGGCTTGCTGGGTGCTGGTGGGGTGGGATTTCTGAGTGCTGGTGGGGTGGGCTTGCTGGGTGTTGGTGGAGCGGGCTTGCTGGTTGCTGGTGGGGTGGGCTTGCTGGGTGCTGGTGGGGTGGGCTTGCTGGGTGCTGGTGGGGTGGGATTTCTGAGTGCTGGTGGGGTGGGCTTGCTGGGTGCTGGTGGGTTGGGCTTGCTGGGTGCTGGTGGGGTGGGCTTGCTGGGTGCTGGTGGGGTGGGCTTGCTGGGTGCTGGTGGGATGGACTTGCTTGGTGATCAGGAAAACTTGCTTGATGGTTGGATAAATGTGACTGCTGGTTGGAAAGACTTGTTTGCTGGGTGGATGCACTTGTTTGCTCATATAGGCTGGCTTGCTGTTGGGACAAGCTTGCTGGCTGGTCTAATACAAGATGTGGGTCATGCATCAGAGAACAGGATGTGCCAGCATGCGTATGTACCTGGGATGTGGCTGCCGTGGGTTCTTGTATCAATCTTCTTTTGGCAGGTTGGCCTCGCTCTGTTCTGTATCTCTTGTCTTTTTCTGGTGGTGTAGCACGACCAATTAAGTGCCGTAAAGCTCCCATTGTTAACACTTAAGTCTATCTATTCTAATCAAATCTGCAAATGTGGTAAGATTTTTTAAAATTTAATAGGGGCTACTAAAACTAATTATGTTTTTTTTAAATGCGTACCATAATCAGCATTATTCATATTAGACCTAACCTTAACTAAGTTTAATTTGAAGTAAATTAGTAGCATGTTACGTCTATCCGGATACTGGGCTACTTAATATTTATCAGTTATAGGCCCCGCTGTATATAAATTTTGTAGGTCTACTGTTATTAAAAAGGTAACTATAACAATATTTGTAAGATGCTTCACGACTTTATTATAATTATGCGTTTTTTTTAAATAAGAAATACTGAAATGCAAAAATTAAAGCTGCCTGTAAATTTGTAATTAAAATGTAAGCCTAAAGCTATTATAACAATTATAGGCCTAGATATGAATATTTTACTAGAGATTCTATTTTAGTATTTACACAATTGTTTTAATTAGCTTCTAAGTTCTATGCTGCTGTTTTCTTGACTAATACTACTAGATCTAAGTACTAATGCTACTACTAAGTACTAACAACTAGAGTTGTACACTAAATTGTCTAAAAATAGGCCTAAATAATTAATTGTTTTAAAAAGTAAAGTTTGGATTTAATAGACTACGATATATCTAGACCTAATTAATGAGTAAATTATTAATAATGGTAAATTTTTAACAAGTCTATAACATCAAGTTTTTTACCTTCAGTATTCAGTGCATTGGTCCTCTCTTACAATGATTACCATCTGAGAGGGACGAAAGTATTTATACAGGCGGGCTTTCAAAAGCTTACGGGGTTACCGTTTATACTATTTTTAGAACCTATAATGATGAGTTCTCTTTGGGAATTCCCGGAAGTGTTATTTGATATCTATAATCGGGCAATCTAGTTTTTCTTATCTTTTAAACATTGTGCAACAGATAAAATGTGTCGTAGTTTATTGGTATATTGTTGCGTTTTTGTCTTTTCAGTTTTGAGAATAAAATTTCCAATTTACCGAAAAAAAAAATAGACCTTAACATACGCCCGTTTTAGAAGACTACTTTGTAAGCATTTTAGAGAATCCAAATAAGGCATGTACAATGATTTAATTTTCTTTAAAAAATAATAATTGCTTTTTTAAAATTAAAAAACGAAAACAATCATTGCTCTTGTCGTATGTATGTGTGCTGGGGGGGGGGGGGGGGAGTCAAGCTATATTATATTAAGGGGGTTTTAGCCCTTATCCCCCGATCCCACCATAAACCCTTAAAATCGCAATTGTGTCACGTTAAGAAAGCTATTGGCCTCCAATGTTCTTAAATTTTTGAAAATCGTAAAACTACAATTTTAGGTTCTAAAAATCGTTAGGGAGCAATATGTTGCCTCCTCCCCCAATAAAGTCTTGCCCACTTGTACAGAGGCGTAGCGACCCTTCCCGGCGCCCGGGGACAAACTTTCAATTTGCACCCCCCCCCCCTCAAACTTTCGCTTTGCACCCCCCTTCAAACGTTCGATTACTTTTTCCTACCCATTTTGGCACCCCCTAAGGTCGGCGCCCGGGGACATGTGTCCCCCCCTGCCCCCCCCCCCCCCCCATCGCTACTTCTCTGGTGCCTTGTACGTGTACGGTATATTACGCGTACGTGTACGTCTGCTTGTGCGTGTACATGTACGTATAAACCTACGTGGTTACGGGTGAATGCAGTTTTTTATTAATGCATAGGTTACTATCTACTAAATTGTTGTGTAGTTGAAAGAACCTTAACCCAAAGGGTTTATGACATTCATTGCTAAATTAACCCCAACACTTTTAGTGGGAAAAGAATGCAAATGACAGCATCAAACTACAGCTCCGCAGACTTTAATTTTAGCCCGTTTGCCCTTTCCTACCCTGATGTGCGTACCCGTGTAAACCTAATTACGATTACGTTTTCACATTGTTTCTACGCATTCCTTTCGTCATTTTCCAGCTCTACTAATCCGAAAGTAGAAACCAGTCTAATATACGTCCCATCAACATTTCAGTGAATTGTTTCAGTATCAACACAAATGGAACGGCGGAGCAATAATGGAATAAACTACTTTTCGACTTTTAGATTTAGATAGGCCAGGGTTTATTTCAGGCATACCATTTGAGTTAGGAAAACGAAAACTTGAATAGTTCTACAGTTTCAGTATATTGTAGACAAAATTTCACATGTAAGTATTAGGTCATAGTGTATTGGGCACACTATCTCTTCATATGCCAAGGTCACAGAAACTAGTGAACTATACTTCACTTGCCCTATGGACCGGTGGCGTCGCTAGGTCGGATGTCACCAGGTAGGGCACTTCGTGGTGTCACCCCTACTAGAAACAATGAATATATATATATATATATATATATATATATATATATATATATATATATATATATATATATATATATATATATATATATATATATATATATATATATACACTTTATTTTACACTTTTTTGCTTTCGTGTCACCCTCTTCCTTCCTTCCTTATACGGAAACCGGCTCAGAAGGTTGACTTCCATCAGCCAGGCAGGCCTCAGTGTAGCAAACTCCGACCACAAGAGTTCCCCACACATCGGTCGCTACTTCCGTGGGCTCTCACCGGGCTTTCCTTCCCCACCCACCAGTCGCGGGACGTCGTCCCACCGCCTGGTACCCAGCTTGATCGTGGGGGGCATTCCGCCAGATCAAAACCCTCTAGCTGCTGTTATCTGCCACTGGCCATTCCGCACCCACTAGGGGGACATGAGTTTGGTCGGATCAGTGGCATTATTCCGAAGCCTCGTTAAGGCCGCCGCTTAAAGTCAAAAGATCTGGTTGCGGACTTTTGGTTCCCGGCAGTCTTGCACCTCTCCTCCCCCACGCTATTATGTGGGGGACTTGGGAGTCCGACGTACCAGGCTCTTCGGAAGAGCCGAACGCATACAGCAGCTCCACTCGGCCAGATCAAAAACCTCTAGCTGCTGTTGGCTACCACTAGCCATCCCGCACCCACTAGGGGGGTCATGAGCTTGGTCCGACTAGTGGTACACATCCGAAACCACGTAAAGGCCGCAGCTTAAAGTCAAGACATCTGGTTAGGGTCGAGAGCAAAACCCTTCTTGGTTCCCGGCAGTCTTGCACCTCTCCTCCCCCACGCTATTTAGAGCAAGCAACGGAGATTCGCCCGTCTAATGCGGACAAATCTCCTGGCTCGCTCATGTAGGAGACTTGGGAGTCCGACGTACCAGGCTCTTCGGAGCCCGTCCTACGAAAGTCCTACAGCGGCTCCTTCCGTAGGTCTCGGGCGTACAGATTAAAGGCCCTAGCTAACGCTAGCTCCCCGGGTAAAAACCCGGGTCCCCTTCCGCGACCACGAGGAGGTCGTAGCTTCAGGTCGAAACATCTGCCGTAGGGCCATAAAAACCCCTTTCGTTCCCAGTCCCTGTTCATCCACTCCAGCCCACATGGCTGCGGGAGTCCGAGGGCACCAGGCTGCGCGGAACGTGTCACCCTCTAAGTGGTGTCACCCGGTGCGCTCCGCACCCCCTACCCGCCCTCGCTACGCCTCTGCTATAAACCGTCAGGTTTGAAATGGAACTTTACTTCTACTTTCAAGTATTAGGTCATTCGAACATATTTCTGCCAACGTTTGAGCGATTTCCGGTAAACGGAAGTGGTACTAAAGTTTTATTTCTTGACAACCGTCTCAGTTTCAGTAGACGAAATTCATACACGTTTAAGATCCTATACTTAGATTTGTTTTAATTTTTTAGGGATTTTCGATGTACGGAAGTGATAGGTCTACTTTAAATTTAATCTATTTTAGGTTTCTAAAATAACTAAAAATAACTGAAGTACCGTTTCAGTCTGGTGAACGAAATTCCATGTAAACATCAGATAATATACATAGGGTTTTTTTTAATTCAAATGTTCAGATATTTCCGGTAACCGGGAGTAGTATTTTATTTAATTTCCGAATTCTGAAAAACCTTTAGAATTCGATAGTTTTATGAAGTAGCAAATTTCAAGAGCCTTTCGCCTCTACGTGTTTTCTCGAGAAAAAAACACGCATCTAGCTTTTCTATAGCCCGTAACCACTGGCAGTGTCATCCAGACCCTTACTGTTATGTAATAATTAAACGACAGAGTTTAGGGGAGATCGCGAAAAACAAAATTTGAAAACCCAATTATAGTTCCCCTTGGCAAAACCTGATACTGTGCTGTTTTTTTTTTTTAAACTTGTCAAGACGATAAATTAAGCAAAGGGAAGTGTATTATTTTGCTAGCAATATCTGCGATTGTTTTCTAAATGCGGATATTTTAAATCAAGATTATCTTAATTTAAATGTTGTTGTTGATAAAAACCATAATTTTTAATTTCCTCT